ACAGTGTGTATGAACTGGTGTGTGGTACAGTGTGTATGAACTGGGTGTGTGGTACAGTGTGTATGTGTGTGGTTGTGGTACAGTGTATGTGTGTTGTGTGTGGTACAGTGTGTGAACTGGTGTGTGGTACAGTGTGTGTATGTGGTTTGTGTGTTATGTGTTGTGTGTGGTACAGTGTGTATGTGTGTGGTTTGTGGTACGTGTATGAGTGTGGTTGTGTGGTACAGTGTGTGTATGTGTGTGTGTGGTGTGTTAGTGTGTATGTGTGTGTGGTACAGTGTGTATGTGTGTGGTTGTGTGGTACAGTGTATGTGTGTTGTGTGGCAGGTATGTGTGTGTGTGTGGTTGTGTGGCATTAGTGTGTGTTGTGTGTGGTACAGTGTATGTGTGTGGTTGTGTGGTACAGTGTGTGTTGTGTGTGGAGTGTATGTGTGTGGTACAGTGTGTATGTGTGTGTATGTGTATGTGTGTGGTACAGTGTGTATATGTGTGTGGTGGTACAGTGTATGTGTGTGGTGTGTGGTACAGTGTGTGTTGTGTGTGGTACAGTGTGTGTGTGTGTGTGGTTGTGTGGTACAGTGTGTGTGTGTGTGGTTGTGTGTGGTACAGTGTGTGTTGTGTGTGGTACAGTGTGTGTTGTGTGTGGTACAGTGTGTGTGTGTGTGGTACAGTGTGTGTTGTGTGTGGTACAGTGTGTGTTGTGTGTGGTTGTGTGGTACAGTGTGTGTGTTGTGTGTGGTTGTGTGGTACAGTGTGTGTTGTGTGTGGTACAGTGTGTATGTGTGTGTTGTGTGTAGTACAGTGTGTGTTGTGTGTGGTACAGTGTGTATGGTACAGTGTGTGTTGTGTGTAATAGTGTGTGTGTGTGTGGTACAGTGTATGTGTGTTGGAGTGTGTGTGGCAGAGAGAGGGTTGACGGGTGAGGGCTGTAAGGAGGGTGTATCAGTGGCAGGGAGGGAGGCCGGGTGGTGGTGTGTGTGCATGAGGGGCGGGCCTGCCTCACCCCCAGGTGGAGACTGGTGTGCATGTTAGTGCATGATGTTGCACCTCCACTCTCACACCACACCCTCATTGGCCAGTGCCGTGAAGACTCCGCCCCGGTATTACGTAATAGGGTAAAGGTGGCGCCATTGGTGGAGAGTGAGTGTGGCGGGCCCGGGGGGTGCCTGCGTCACCAGCGGCGGCGCGCGGCCATTGGGGCAGCAGGGTAGGCCGGCGCTCCCCACCATGACGTCACCCGCCGCGCCCCTCCCCGTGCATGACCACACTCACGCCGCCATTTCCGCCAGTAGCCAAACCCAACGGGAAACAAGATGGATGGCAAAGACGCTGGTCACCATCTTGTTGTTGGGGACGCCAAAACTCCCCCTCCCCACCCATGTCACCATCCACCCGCCATTTTTTCCCACCGCCTGTGAGAGTTGTTGAGGCGGTTATTAATAGAACACTAATAATATTTTTGTCCTTACAAACATTAAACACGAGATAAGAGAGCGAGGCAGACTGTGGATACCTTGGCACACTCCCTCACAGTATTCCTCGTGTTTTGTTGGCCCAGCCCACCCTGATGCTGCCTTGGTGGGTGGGCAGCCAGGGAAGCAGCAGCAGCCCACCGCGTGAAGCCCACGTGTAGTTTTGTTGTTGAGGTCAGCTGATGGCGGTAGTACGGCGGGGTGATGCCCTCCTCCCTCTCTCCCTCTTATCACCCCCTTCTCTCCCTCCCCTCTCATCACCCCTTCCCCCCTCTCCCTCCTCATCACCCCTTCTCTCCCCCACTTATCACCCCTTCCTCTGCCTCCTCATCACCCTCCGCCCCCCTCCCTCCCCACAGCTCTTAATAGTCCATCACTGATTCTCCTTCCGTTTCCCCTCTCACCTCACCCCCTCCCTCCTCACCCTTTTTTCCCTCCCCTCACTAACCACTTCTCCCTTCCCTCACTTACCCCCTCCACCCACCCCTCACGTGTCTCCATCACCCCTCCTCCCTGAAGCTTCCCACATACCTCGACCTTTGACTTTACACGCGTCAGATCGTCACAGTGCCGTAATCTCTCTCTACCCCTCCCCTCACTCCCCCTACCCCATCCCTCCTCCCCCCCCCTCCCTCCCCCCACCCTCCCTCCCCCACCCTTCCCTCCCCCATCCCTAACTCCCTCCCTCCCTCCCCCACCCTCCCTCCCCCTCCCTCCTCCCCATCCTCCTCCCCCTCCCTTCCCATCCTCTCCCTCCCCTCTCTCCTCCCTACCCCCTACCCCCACGGTATTCTCAACAGTTATTACCCCCCTCCCCTTCACCAGTGTCCAGAGATTATGGCGCAACTGTACTGTACCTGCCTGGATGGTTGGTTTAAGGTTATATTATGGTGTTAAAATGGCGTCTTAGTTCTACCGAGACTCTACCTTTAATGGATTTGTTTTGGTTTGGGGTGGTGGTGGGTGAGGTGAGGGTGGGGTAGTGATGTGGTGGTGAGGGTAGGGGGTAGTGGTGGTGGTGAGGATAGTGGTGGTGGTGATAGTGATGGTGGTGAGGGTAGTGATAGTGGTGATAGTGATGGTGGTGAGGGTAGTGGTGGTGAGGGTAGTGATAGTGGTGATAGTGATGGTGGTGAGGGTAGTGGTGGTGAGGGTAGTGATAGTGGTGATGGTGATGGTGGTGAGGGTAGTGGTGGTGGTGAGGGTGGGGGGTAGTGATGGTGATAATGGTGGTGGTGAGGGTGGTGATAGTGGTGATAGTGATGGTGGTGAGGGGTGGGGTGAGTGATGGTGGTGGTGGTGAGGGTGAGGGGTGGTGATGGTGGTGGTGGTGAGGGTGGGGGTAGTGATGGTGGTGATAGTGGTGGTGGTGAGGATGGTGGTGGGTGGGGGTGGGGTGGTGATGGTGTGTGGTGGTGGGGGGTGGTGATAGTAGTGATAGTGATGGTGGTGGGGTGAGTGATGGTGGTGGTGGGTGGGGGTGGGGTGGTGATGGTGGTGATGGTGGTGGTGGTGGGGGTGGGGTGGTGATGTGGTGGTGGTGAGGGTAGTGATGGTGTGAGGGTAGTGGTGGTAGTGATGGTGGTGAGGGTGGTGAAACATCTCAAGCTAAGTGGGATGTCAACTTGAAATCACTGTTGTCATTTACTTATTGCTGCTCACCACTCCCTCCTCTCTCCTTCTCTTTCCTCCTTCGCTTCCTCCTCCTCTTTCCTCTTTCGCCTCCTCCTCGTACTTCCTTCCTCATACTCCTCCTAACCTCCTCCTCCTCCTTCCTTATCACCTAAGCGTCTTAACACTCTCTCTCTCTCTCTCTCTCTCTCTCTCTCTCTCTCTCTCTCCCCACATTTTATAGCTAATAGTTTGATAAATAAAAATGGTGTATTATCCTTCAACTTTCAAATCTGTATTTCTTAAGGTTAGGTTAGGTGTTTTGGTGGTGAGATGGTGGTTGTTTTGGCTGGTGATAAGATTGTGGTTGGTGGAGATAATTGTCGGTAGTGGAGTGGTTGATGATGATGGTGGTAACAATTGTGGTTGCTGGTGGTAGTAACAGTATAGTTGGTGGTGAAAGTGGTTTGGTTGATGGTGGTAGGTGGATGGTGGTAGTGGTGGTAGTAACAAGTATGGTTGATAGTAACAATTGTGGTTGGTGGTGGTGGTAGTAACAATTATGGTTGATAGTGGTAACAGTTTGGTTGATGGTGGTGGTAACAAGTATGGTTGGTAATGCAGGTGGATGGAAACTTGATCCACTGAAGATAGCTGGATCAATACAGTTCTCTCCACGCTCTGACCATGGTGGTGGTGGCACTCTTGTCACTCTACCACCACCACCACCATTACTTCTACTACCACTATTATCATCTCTATTTACCCCTGCTACTACTACCACCACTATTACTACTACCACTATTATCATCACCAATTACTACAACTACCACCACCACCACCACTATTGCTACTACCACCATTATCATCACCAATCACCACCACTACTACTACTACTACTACTACTACTACTATTGAAGAGAGGGTGATAAAGTGCGTCATATCAAGGGGTGATAAAGTGCGTCATATCTAGGGTGGAGGAGGGGTGATAAAGTGCGTCATATCTAAGGGGAGAGAAACATTAGCCACTACTGTACTTGGAATCTCATTTACGCCTTATTTAACCCTTTGTAACCCCCTCTCTCCCCCCCCCGTGTATGTGTTGCTGGGAATTCTGGCCACATTCTCTCTCTCTATCATGTTCTTTCTCTTACCCTCCTCCTCCTACCCCCTTACTCCCTTCTTCTCTCGCCCCCTCCATATATACACTCTCTCTCTCCTTCTCCCTCCTAAGATTCTTCACCGCCGGCTTGCAATGCTCTTCTGACCTGTACTGGTAACTTGTGTATATATTACTGGTACAGGTGTGTATATATGAGCAAGAATGTTTAGAGAACTTCTGTATAATGTAGTAAGGTTATTGTTATCATCATCGTTGCTATTATTTTTATTATTATTGTTATTATTATTATTATTATTATTATTATTATTGTTATTATTATTATTATTATTATTATTATTATGAAGATTCTATTACCTGTATGTTGTCATGAACTCTTATGCATCATGCCGTTTATGAGTTGTGTTATCAGTAAACGGAGGAAATAACTCGATTGTAACGGTAAGATGACAAAAATAACCTGTTGTGTTATCCTGTTGTTTAGTAGTGGAGTCCCTGGCTCATTCATTAGTTTATATCTCCTCAAGCTCTTCCCTCACCACCCCACCCTCCCTACACCACCACACCCTACCTCTCACCACCCCACTCACACCCTTACTCACACCCCAACCTTACTCACACCCCCCACTCATCCTCTCCTTACCACACACCCACCCCACTCATCCTCTACCTTACCCACACACCCACCCCCTCACCCTCCTTACTCACACCCACCCACTCACACCCTCCCTTACCCACACCCCCACTCATCCTCTCCCTTACCCACACACCCACTCATCCTCTCCCTCCCCCAACAGACAGATGGTGGCTCGCAGTATACAGGAAACACTCCGGGCGGTGGTGGGAGTACCTGAAGACGTCCACTCCGTCTTGGACATCATGACTACCCTCTCCGCTAATGATGGTACGTCTACCTTTGACTCGTACCGACAGTGGGGGGAGGTCATTAACTACACGGATGGTAATTACTACACTTTAACCATGAGAGTTTTTTCTGATTTTGTTGTGTTTTCTGGTTTTTTGTATTTTATTTTTCGTTTTTTTGTGCTTTTTATTTGTTTGTCATTTTGTTTTTGTATTTTTGCCAATTTTATTTATTATTTTATTTTGTCCTTTTTTATTATCTGTTGTCTCTCTCTCTCTCTCTCTCTCTCTCTCTCTCACTATTTTATTTACCTATTGCTTATGCTTCTATGTTAGGGTGTCTGTCTGCCTGTCTGTATATCCATTGTTGACCAATCGTGTGTTTATTGACTACTGGCTGGATTTTGATTGGCTCAGAACAACAATAAAGTGATTTTGAGTGACGGTCGAGAGGTGTGTGTGTGTGTGTGTTTAATCCCTTGAGTACGATGACAACCCCATAAGTCATCATACTCAAGGGGTTAAGTCATCATACTCAAGGGGTTAAGTCATCATACTCAAGGGGTTAAGTCATCATACTCAAGGGGTTAAGTCATCATACTCAAGGGGTTAAGTCATCATACTCAAGGGGTTAAGTCATCATACTCAAGGGTTAAGTCATCATACTCAAGGGGTTAAGTCATCATACTCAAGGGTTAAGTCATCATACTCAAGGGTTAAATCATCATACTCAAGGGTTAAATCATCATACTCAAGGGGTTAAGTCATCATACTCAAGGGGTTAAATCATCATACTCAAGGGTTAAATCATCATACTCAAGGGGTTAAATCATCATACTCAAGGGGTTAAATCATCATACTCAGGGGTTAAGTCATCATACTCAAGGGTTAAGTCATCATACTCAAGGGGTTAAGTCATCATACTCAAGGGGTTAAATCATCATACTCAGGGTTAAGTCATCATACTCAGGGGTTAAATCATCACCTCAGGGTTAAATCATCATACTCAAGGGGTTAAATCATCATACTCAAGGGGTTAAATCATCATACTCAAGGGTTAAGTCATCATACTCAAGGGGTTAAGTCATCATACTCAAGGGGTTAAGTCATCATACTCAAGGGGTTAAGTCATCATACTCAAGGGGTTAAATCATCATACTCAAGGGGTTAATTGTAGGGCAAATGTGTAATATAATTGGTGTTAATAAATAGGGCAAAGATCTGTATTAAAATAGTGTATTGAAATGGGTTTTAATAGGTAATGTAATAGGCTGAAATGGGTTGACTTATTTTCGTGAGATGTGTACGTATTTTTGGATGCTTTGGCCGATCAAGCGCCGCCCACATTTTAAGCTTGTCAGATCAAACTAAGCCAGATGGTGAGATTGTATCAATCACCCCAGGGACTATCTTAGATACTACACTTGATATTGCTGTCTATGTGCGCCATCAGTTCTCTGTGATGGAAGCTTTGGTCTTGGCGGGAGGAGTAATGATTGAATATCAGACCAAAGCTTACAGCCCAGAATTACATCACACATAACATCAAGTACAGTACAGACCGCGTGGTGCCCTAACACCACAGGTTGACACACCGCAGGTCAAGACCTGACCCCGGCCTAAGTACTTGCGTAACCCTACGATATAACCGAGTTAAGGAAACCACACCTGGCCAGAACACGGGCGGTAATAATTACAAGCACTACTGTCCTGCGACATGACCTCACCTGGGCAAACACCTGTCCGGACCTGACCCAAGGGGAGATCAAGGACCCGCTAATCAGCCAGCACCCCTGTTACCTGACCCAACAACCCGGTCAAGACACACCCACTTAGTAGGAGAGGTCACCCTCCGGCCTCTCAATATATAGGACTGGAGCTCCTCACAGGGAGAGTCTGATAACCAAGGAGGGCCAGCAACCACGTCCCTGGTCCCGCTCATCGAAGTCTGTCACTAAAGGCAACAGGGTGCCGGGTCCATCGACAGAGTGCTGTCAGTTCAACGTATAACAGTAAGTGCTGGCTGTGTAGGCGGTAGAAGTGCAGTGATCCCGAACCTTCCAACGATCGACTTAGTGAAGTGCCCATTCACTGTGAAGTTAAACGAACATATCATAGTCTATCATACCCTGTGTACGGATTCCCCCATTAATGCCTCGTATGCAACTAGTAAAATAAAGCTGTAACACGCTGTTGTGTTTTATATACAACACTTGTACTGAGCCTGTGTTAATATACGTGGTCACCCTCGAGTCACGCTATCAAGCTTCCTGTCTGTACATCCTCCTACTATAAGTATTCTACCTATATGTAATATCCTCTTCTGGTGAGTTTTTCTCATTATATTAGCAACCGATACCATTCCTTGATGCTGATTGGTTGCTAAGTGGGGAGTGAAATTTGATTGGCTGTTGAGGTAGATGGTGACGTCACATTCTTTAGTAAGAAGTGGAGGTGATAATTGTTGTTTTAACCTTGAGTACGATGGCGCAAGGGGTTAAGTCATCGTACTCAGGGGTTAAAAGGTCGCGTGTTTGGATGATCAGTGTCTCTCTCTGCGCCATTGTTCAGGGACACACACACACACACACACTGGACTCTTGAGGCAGCGCGCCCAATATTTCGTTTTGAATTTCTGAATCTCGCGGTGGTTGTAACCACACCCCTTTCTCCTCTCTCGTCTTCATCAACACAGTCTCTCTCTCTCTCTCTCTCTCTCTCTCTCTCTCTCTCTCTCCACATCCTATCCAAGTGTCAACAATGGCTGATGCATCGAGGTTCCCCCCCCACACACACTACGTAGCTTAAATTTCACCCAAAATTTCGACACACAAATGCTCGTTGTAATTAGTGTGGCGTGACAGTACTACTGGTGGTGTGACAGTACTACTGGTGTGGCGTGAGAGTATTTCTGGTGGTGTGGCTGAGAGTACTACTGGTGTGACAGTACTACTGGTGTGGCGTGAGTACTGGTGTCATAGTAAGTTATAGGTCCTATAGCAGTGAGTTATATTCTATATCCGCTAATTATAGATAGTGGCCAAAGTGATGTTTACTTTATCATATAATTTATCAACACAGTACACACGTTTGGCTGTACTCTCGTCCCTGTAATTTACTGTATTTTGGGTTGTTGTTGGTCGAGTAATCGTGGTTTTATTATTACCAGTACGATTATTATTATTATTTTTATTTATTTGCTGCTGCTGCTGCTGCTTACTATTAATGCTATTATTCTTATTACTACTACTACTACTATTATTATTATTATTATTATTATTATTATTATTATTATTATTATTATTATTATTATTACCTGCACTAGTATTTTTATTATTGGTGTGTGTGTGTGTGTGTGGTTAACAGTCAGCAATCTCTCTCTCTCTCTCTCTGGTCGAGTTAAACGACCTGATTTAGTCGTTTTTAGATACATTTATATTCATGTTTGGCGTCTGGGGAGCCTGTGTTGTGACCCCCGCGATTGATTATGTCTGTCTTTATTTTGTGTTTGAGAGAGAGAGAGAGAGAAGAGAGAAGAGAGAGAGAGAGAGAGGTGTGTGTGTGTGTGAGAGAGAGTAGTGTGTCTGTCTGTCGTTAGTGTGTCAATAGTGTCTTCTTGGTGTGATTGGAAAAATTGGTTGGACTTAAATGTGGCCCTGGAAGGTTTAATGGCCTGGTGGGTTTAATATGGGTCTGGTGGGTTTAATGTGGCCCTGGTGGGTTTAATGCGGGTTTATTGTGGGTTTGATGGGTTTAAATTTGGTCTGTTGGGTTTAAATTTGGTCTGTTGGGTTTAATATTCGCCTATTTGGTTTATTATTCGTTTATTTGATGCATTGGAGGTTTATATCTTGGTTTTAATATTATCCTCAAGGGTTTAATATTGCCGTGGAGGTTTATCAAACCTTTATTGACTCCACCATAAATATAAAGTCAAGGATGACAGCTTAAACCAAACCTAACACCAGACGATAAACTACAGATAAAACCATAACATCGTACTGTATGGGTTTAGGTTTATGGGGGTAATATATAGTGCTTTTGTGTTTGTCTGTTTGTTTGTTTTACTGGTTTATGTTTTAAGTTACAGTATTAGCGTTAAGATTTATAAGGCATTGCATAATTTATTCAGTTAATGTAATTCAATGTTTATTATATATATGGTACTGTTACATAATTTATATAGTTATGCAATGGTGTTGATAATTTGTATACTGTCATGCTGGATATATTAAGTTATGTAATACAATGTTAAGAATTTATATATTACATAATTTATTTAGTTATGTAATACAGTACAGCGATACAACGTTGATTTACGTGGTACTGTAATTTTTGTGTTGCATAATTTATTAATTTAATACAATATCGATAATTTATAGTATTACATGTATTAATTTATATACATACATGAATACTGATATACTATACATACATACATACATACATACATACATACATACATAGAGTAATACAACCTGCCTCTCTCTCTCCCCCTTGACCACACAGAGGCGGCAGTGCGGACCGAGTTAATGGAACAAGTGCCTCAGATAGCTGTCTTGTGCCACGAGTACCCAGACAATTTGGGTGGTGTGGTCACAACCTAGTTCCCATGGTGGTTAAGTACCTCACCGACCCAAACAACCAGGTGAGCTTAGTAATTAACTTGAGTTACTGTGGTGTTAACTATCAAATTACTGTACTGTTAACTACTCTACTGTTAATTATCAGATTACTGTATTGTGCTGTTAGCTACCAAATTACTGTACTGTTAACTATCAAATTACGGTACTGTTAACTTCCTAACCTAACCAACGTGGTGTAATTTAGCCCCTGGGGTACTATATAGATTTTGGACATTGATACAGTGGAATACAGTAGATGTGATAATACAGTACAGTAGGGTCAGTGTTGTGTACAGGAGAGGGGCACTAGTTGAACACCGCTGTAACGCCTGATTTTTTTGTGTTTTGTAGCTTTTGTATCAATGTGTTCTTTATTTAGGATCTATTTACACAGCTTTACATCAATTTATTTATTTACAGTCAACTTACTTCATTCAATTTACTTACAACTAACTTTATTCGATCTATTATTACTATACAATATTTACATCTTTATTCAATTTATTTACATTACCTATTAATTAATCGCCGTTGTTTACATTATTTACCCTGCTAATTCACCACCTTTGTTTACATTATTTACCCTGCTAATTAACCCACATTATCTACACTAATGTACCACCTCTTTTGCACAAATTAACCACCTTTATATTATTTCCCCTTCCCTCCTAATTCCCCCATCTCATTCGTCATTCCTGCCAGGTGCGAAAGACGTCCCAGGCAGCTCTCTTGGTGCTGCTGGAACAAGAGTTAGTGAGTAGGGAGGATGTGGATGACCAGGTGTGTCCCGTTATACTGCGGCTCACCAACACCGACGCCATGGATGACTTCAAGACGGAGGCTGTGGCGGTAAGTTAGCTGCTTTACTGTAGTGTGTGTGTGTGTGTGTGTGTGTGTGTGTGTGTGTGTGTGTGTGTGTGTGTGTGTGTGTGTGTTTGATTTGATTATTGGATAACCCTGACCTAACCTGACCTCACCTTGGGATGGAAGGGTTTGCGTGAGTGATACTTAGCCCTTAAAAATTGGGATGAATTACCATATATATAATTGAGATGTGCTGCCTTCAATAATTGGGATGTACAACCACATATAACTGAGATGTGCTGCCTTCAGTAATTGGGATATACTACTACATATAACTGAGATGTGCTGCCTTCAGTAATTGGGATATACTACTACATATAACTGAGATGTGCTGCCTTCAATAATTGGGATGTGTTACCATATAAAATTATGTGTTCCTTTATTATATTTCGACATTGTCTTGTAGAAAAAATGGTTACAGTCCAGAACAATGTATGTATTTCTTATGAACTTAGAGTTACAGAAAAAAATAAACTACAGTTGAAAATACAGAAAGGTCATAACACAGAATACAGCAAGTAATGACCATTTTTGTAGTACTGTATTATTGTTCTGGTGTGTATACTGTACTATGTTCTGCTCTATGATTTCAGGTTTGTATTTTGTATTATTTTATCTGTAATCTTCTTTGGGTTTGTATTTGTTGTATTATTCTTGGTTCTGTATTTTGTAGTATTTCAGGTTTGTTGGTTTAAGTTAGATGCACTGTATTTTTTGTACTGTAAGGTAAATACATAAGTGTAATGATATAATGGATTGGTTACTACTTATTGCTGTAATTAAGACGAATACAGTATTTTGTAGCCATTGTTGTAATGTAGAGATAATTCGATGTTTGTTATCCAGTAAACATTATTAGATAGGGATTAATTAATGAGTACCTTGATGTTTGTTACAGATATTTAGTAAACATTATTAGGAAGGTGAATAGGATGAGTGTTTTATCTCGTGTGAGAGAGAGAAAGAGATTAGGTACAAGTTTTTAGATACAGGGGTGAGCTGACCTACCAGCAACTGGGTGTAAACATGCGGAAGATAATGAAGACTGTTGTGTGAGGTAGGGGCCGCTGTGAAAGACATGGGTAGTGAGATGTGAGACTTTGGCAACATCTCACTACCTTGTCTTTCACGGTGTCTCTTGCCACCGTCTGCTGCCACTACTACTACAGGGTGCCTACTACAGCTGCTGTGTCCATCAGGTATACCTCCTCCACTAGCAGCAACAGCGATACTACCGCTAATAGCAACCCCCCTACTATTATCACCACCACCAGCTCCTTCTCCACCACCACCACCCCAGCCCCTCCACCACCACCACCCCCAGCCCTCCCACCACCCCACCCCAGCCCTCACCACCACCACCCTTCACCCCTCCTACTACCAGCCCCTCCACCACCACCACCCCTTCCACCCCTCTACTACCAGCCCCTCCACCACCATCTCCCCCACCCCTCCACCAGCCCCTCCACCGCCAGCCCCTCCACCCCCTCCACTGCCAGCCCCTCCACTACCATTCCTCCACCCCTCCACTACCAGCCCCTCCACCCCTCCACTACCAGCCCCTCCACCCCTCCACTACCAGCCCTCCACCCCTCCACTACCAGCCCTCCACCCCCTCCACTACCAGCCCTCCACCCTCTCCACTACCAGCCCCTCCACCCTCCACTACCAGCCCCTCCACCCCCTCACTACCAGCCCCTCCACTACCAGCCCCTCCACCACCACCAGCCCCTCCACCACCACCAGCCCCTCCACCACCACCACCCCTCCACCACCACCAGCCCCTCCACCACCACCAGCCCCTCCACCACCACTACCAGCCCCACCACCAGCCCCACCACCACCCCTCCACCACCACCACCCCACCACCACCACCCCTCCACCACCACAGCCCCACCACCACTACCAGCCCCACCACCACCAGCCCTCCACCACCACTAGCCCCTCCACCACCACTAGCCCCTCCCTCACCACCAAAAGGACTCCAGATCACCAATTTTTCACCAGCAAGACCACTACAAGACCCCTTAGGCCGCGGCACTGAGCTACTTCCTGCGGGTGATGGTCTTGTCCGGCCACTGGAGAAGCTATGCGCCGGGCACTGGCATCAAACTGGTTTGTCATAGCTCGCTGCCCGCTATACTATCACAGCCAGCTTTGATGAGCAGTGCCCGATGCCCCGTGACTGCTGGTACACCGTCGCCGCTGTCCACGTGCCCCTGGAGCTGTCGTGTAGTTATGTAATATTGTGTGTACTGTATTGGGTTGGCTGCCCATCTACTGTATATCCTTCCACTATTCTGCCACCACCACCACCAACGACCACACCTACCACCAACGACCACACCACCACCACACCACACCTACCACCAACGACCACACCACCACCACACCACACCACCACCACCACACCTACCACCAACGACCACACGACCACACCTACCAACGACCACGACCACCTACCACCAACGACCACCTACCACCAACGACCACACCTCAACGACCACCACCACACACACCTACCACCAGCCACACCACCTACCACCGACCACACGACCACCTACCACCAACGACCACACCACCACCACACCACACCTACCACCAACGACCACACCACCATTTACCACTTGATTCTTTACCCAATATAAAAATTTCTTTATCATGTGTTAATGTGTGTGTTAACGTATTCACTCTGAGGGGAAGTTGTACGGAGGTGTGTTATGTGGATTAGTACGTCATGCGTCACTGACCGGTAAGAATGAGGGCACTGACTGGTAAGAATGAGGGCACTGAATGGTAAGAATGAGGTCACTGACTGGTAGAATGAGGTCACTGACTGGTAAGAATGAGGGCACTGACTGTGGTAGAATGAGGGCACTGACCGGTAAGAATGAGGCACTGACCGGTAAGAATGAGGCACTGACCGGTAAGAATGAGGGCACTGAATGGTAGAATGAGGGCACTGACTGGTAAGAATGAGGGCACTGACCGGTAGAATGAGGGCACTGACCGGTAGAATGAGGGCACTGACCGGTAGAATGAGGGCACTGACTGGTAGAATGGGGGCACTGACTGGTAAGAATGAGGGCACTGACCGGTAAGAATGAGGGCACTGACCGGTAAGAATGAGGGCACTGACTGGTAAGAATGAGGGCACTGACTGGGAGAATGAGGGCTGGGAGGAAGAATGAGGGGAGAGGGGCTGGCAGTTGTATTGATCTGGGAGTTGCGCTGTGGTTCACTCCGCTTTCCCCTTGACCACGTGGCCAGAATACTGATCATTCTCTCTCTCTCTCTCTCTCTCTCTCTCTCTCCATTCTTATCCCTTTTCCCCTCCTTCCATCTCTCTCCCTCCCTACCCCCCCTCTCCCAATATTACACACTACCATTCACAACAAAAACCTCAGATTAACTTCAATATTTTCATTACTATTTGCATATTTTTGTTTATTCATTTTTATATAATTTTTCAAAGGTTTAATTTTCTCAATGGTATTTGGTCATCATAAAGTAAGTGTGGTTATGATGACTACTTCTTGAGCCGTATTCTTACCACTGTGTCCTTGTTATTATTCTTCCCATGGTTCTTTATTTGTTGTTATTGTTGTGTTTGTGTTTGGTATCTGTTGTTATGGAGGTGTTGTTGATGTTAGTATTATGGTTATTATATAGGGGTTATAAGCCAGTGTTGTTATTAGTTATAGTATTAGTCAAATTATTGGACCATTTATCGTAATATTAAGATTTATTGTTGTTCTAAGTACTGTAGGTATCATTAAACCTGTAACTATTTCTTACTATTATTACTCTTGATAAATAGTGAATGAGTATTATTGAACTCGTATGAAGAAAATAGTGTACGTATAGTGTTAAATAGTGATTTATTAATAGGTGATGAGGTCAGAAGAGTGGGGGTGAGATTAGCGTGTACTGCATCGAGAAGAGAGGGAGTGAGTGGGACGTAGCAGAAGCCGTCAAAGTGGGTGTGACGCGGAGTTATGGACAGCGTATCACAGCCACCTTTGATGAGCTCCTGTCGTCTACCTGTCTACGCCGTCATGAGTTGCTGTCTACGTCAACATGAACTACTGTCGAGCTGTCACCATCATGCATTACTGTCTTCTTCATCGACTGTCTACACCAGCATGACCTCCTGTCTTCACTCACCACCCTCAGGTGACCTGTGGTGTAATGGTCAGGATGCTCGCCTCACAAGCGAGCGGACCCGGGTTCGATTCCCAAGGCAGGGTGAAACTATGGGCAAGTTTCTTTACGCCATTTGCTTCTGCCTACCCAGCAGTAATTGGGGACCTGGATGTTAATGGATTTGCGGGCTTCCGGGGTAATGGTTAGCCAGTGTAGTTGTCCGGTCTTCTCGGACTGTTCCTTGACACTGGGTCATGCAGCCTAAAACTGTTAATTGGTGAACATATAACGAGATATGGTGTTAATGGTGACTATGGTGAGATTTGAATCCTGGTGGCGGGCCCGTTAAGTTTGCTGTGGTGTGCTGTTATAGGCCATATCACAGCCTACTTGACGAGTTCTGCTGCTGGCTGCTACTTCTGCTGCTGTCCCTACAGGTGGTGGTAAGGTCGTGTGTATAGTGGTATTGAATATATTTTAGCTGGGGGTCACCCGAGGCTTTATACACCCCAGCTAATTTCACCCGATGATTAGGCACCCCCTTTACCTGGGCAGGTAGATTGGCATTTGGGTGTCTAATCATCAGGTGAATGTATTTGTACAGGTAATCCATTACCTTTGATAGGACAATATGTGACCAGGTCTATGGGGTATGACCAGGTGTCCGGGATGTGTCCAGGATGTAACCAAGTGTCGGGTGTGACCAGGTGTGCAGGGCTAAGGTCCATCGTTTGAAGATCCTGTGCGAGTCCTGTCTCACAAAGTGGTTGTTCTATGTGGTAGTTCATCATATCACAGCCAGCTTTGATGAGCGAGGACCCGGCACTAATGCTACACCA